TGGTCAACACGTTTTGATCGCTGTGACCACGCAAACTTATGTTTGAATGTGCGTTGGTTGTCGTTAACCACACACTTGCACGCGGTTTCTTTAGAAAAGAATTAGGTACTGAGCTTTGGCGCTACAGTGAGACATTGGTGTCGCAGAGTGAGCATCGATGGGAGCTGTTCAAGCTGCACAGTGACGAAAGTGTATTCAAGACGGTGGATCACATCACAGGTCAATTTGGAGTCATGAACAAGAAACACTTTGATGAACTACAGCAATCGCTTGGTTGGAACCATGCTCCGTACGGTATCATGAGTGACCGTGCTCTTCGGTGTTCGTCTGGCCCTGCGTCGGTTGTCCAATTTGACTGGCCCATTGGACATACCCATTGGAGATAGAGCTGGCAATGAAAAGTCTTGGAGGGCTAGGTTTTTCTCCAGCCAAGATCTATGAGTTTTTTGGAATTTCGATCGCTTGATAAATAGACATTCAGTTTTAGTAATTATTTGCCAATTTTCACGTTGTTTTCTTTTCTTGTGGCTGATGTGACAATCTATATATACTGGGAACGTCAGTGAGGAAAGATATCAATTGGCCACGCCGTTGGCAGAGCTTTGGTCTATCCATCACCAAAACCCTTCTCAGAAAGAAGGAGGTCTCTGCAACAGCTTCAGAATTCTTGACTGTGTATCCAGCGCTGCGTATTTGCACTCCCTCAACTTACATGAGTCTGGAGATGAACATGTTCTCCGCGTCCTCCAGAGTTTTTTTGCGATGACTGATTTGCTGGAACTTGCACATTCGTCAATGAGGAAAGCAATCATGTGGCAGGAGAGCGCCTGTATTTTTGGCCGTTTCAAATTAAAGGACCGGATAACCCCACATATGAATCTACGAATCTTAAGTTTCTAAAGCACAAAGCAGTCAGAGTCTCAATAGCTTCTACAACACGGCCTTGTCAGGAAGTGATATCAGCTTCCTACAACAGAGGGGTGGGAGAGAAGGTGTAAGAGAGCGATGTGCACGACGGATGTACGAGGTATTGTGCACACAGGTGTGCGCAGCCACAACTAGCCAACAACACCAGCGGTTGTCGCACGTCCGCAAAATGGGGCATAATGTACGAAAGTTGTACTACAAAGTCGCCAGTTCTCAGCTTCCAGCTCCACAGATTGCTCCGCGTACTAAAGTTGTACAATCGAACAGCGTCGCCGGCGCCCACACCCAGAGCGGACCAGAGCCGACCAAGCAACCACCAGACCCTCTAACGGAGTCAGATCTACTGCGATTTACAATGGAACAGCGTCGACCAAGCAACCACCAGACCCTCTAACGGAGTCAGATCTACTGCGATTTAC